CCAGGGAGTTGAGATCGATAACACGATGTGCCATTGAGATTGACATCCATTGATCGAGGGGAAAAAATACCAGCGTTGAGCATGCACTAGTTGCCTGGATAAGTACGCTATATAAATATCTTATAATAAAAAAATAATAATATCAGGTGAGCCACAGGGCTTTGTGGTGCTATCTTTTTAACAGACAACAAGTACACAAAGCATATGATTTAATGAAGCAATAAACAGCAAATACATTGTTACATTGGTGTATTTACTGTATTTATCAGTAGTGATATCTTCAGTATCACAACATTTTTTAAATATAAACATGAAAAAGAGATCTGTTTAGAAAAAGATTGGTTAAACATGACATATCAAATATTCGAACATCAGTATCTGAAATCTGTCCCATGTTTGTTGATAGCTCGAGATCCTGCATTTACTTCATATAGTTCATGCTGTTGTTTCAAATGCCAACAAAGCCTGTTAGTTTCACAACCAGTTTCCCATTAACCTCACTTCACAATGGTAAATACATAGAAAACATTCACACCTGAATTCAGCAGTTAGAGAAACCACATGTACTGTGTCAATATCAAGACCATTACAAAATCACATCTACGGCCTACTCAAGTTGTGAATATAATCTAACATAAGAAACATTCTCTCTTAACAAGTTTGTCTCAAATAATAATAATCCAGATATACATATACATATTTCATAATGACAAGAAAGATGAATGGCAAAATACTACTCTCTTAGTATGGGAATAAGAAGGAAACTAAGTCAAACAGTTGGGTTTTTTAAAGCTACCAGTACATTAATTGTTTGAAAATAGCTGAGGAAATTAAATCGTGTCCAAATAATATAACCCCAAACAATTTTCACACAAAAACAACTCTCTCATTGATCAACATAGTGACTATTCTTCGAACTACCTGTTATGATTGACTGTATGGCAATGATAACAAACTTTAGACAGCAGGTAATATGTGACTTAAAGCATGGCTCTATTAAATTCACTTTAGGTGAAGAGATGTGATTAGATCCAATATACAACAACACAGTTAAAACTGCATATACATGTAGCAAATAGATCTCCAGTTACAGTGGAAATTGACAGGTTTGAGTATATACGATACAGACCAAGGATAACTTGATGACTGATATTTACAGTGAAGCTTAAACACTTAAAGATACAAGGATATGTTAATGATCGTTTTCACTATTACAATTGTCACATGCGTACTATATGGTCTTTTAAATCAGTTCTGTAATTACTGACTGACTGACTGAGTTTGGTTTTACGCCGCTTTTAGCAATATTCCAGCAACATCACGGCGGGGGACACCAGAAATAGGCTTCACACATTGTACCCATGTGGAGTTCTGTAATTAAAACATACATGTATAAAAGTTTAAAAGGTGGCACTATGTCCTAGAGCTCAAATGAAAATGTTCAACAGTTTCTAAATATGATTTATGACTATTAACACCTAAATTCATAACCTATTGAATGAGCAAATTTCTGCAAAAGCAAAACACACAAGTGGATGGTCCAGTTATATTGAAAGTGTTTGGGTTTTTTAAAAAAGAAACAGGCTGTAGACATTGACCACCAGCACTATTTACAATGTGTGGGTACATTTCTTACAGTGTGTGACATTGTGACTACTGATGTATATAACTGTAGCCCAGATACTGACTACTATTTACAATGTGTGGGTACATTTCTTACAGTGTGTGACATTGTGACTACTGATGTATATAACTGTAGCCCAGATACTGACTACTATTTACAATGTGTGGGTACATTTCTTACAGTGTGTGACATTGTGACTACTGATGTATATAACTGTAGCCCAGATACTGACTACTATTTACAATGTGTGGGGTACATTTCTTACAGTGTGTGACATTGTGACTACTGATGTATATAACTGTAGCCCAGATACTGACTACTATTTACAATGTGTGGGTACATTTCTTACAGTGTGTGACATTGTGACTACTGATGTATATAACTGTAGCCCAGATACTGACTACTATTTACAATGTGTGGGTACATTTCTTACAGTGTGTGACATTGTGACTACTGATGTATATAACTGTAGCCATGATGCTGACTACTATTTACAATGTGTGGGTACATTTCTTACAGTGTGTGACATTGTGACTACTGATGTATTTAACTGTAGCCCAGATACTGACTACTATTTACAGTGTGTGACATTGTGACAACTGGTGTATATTATTGTAGCACAGATACTGACTACTATTTACAGAGTGTAACAAGTGATATGCATAACTGTAGCACAGATACTGACTACTATTTACAGAGTGTAACAAGTGATATGCATAACTGTAGCACAGATACTGACTACTATTTACAGAGTGTAACAAGTGATATATATGACTAGCACAGATACTGACTACTATTTACAGCGAGTGACATTGTGACAACTGGTGTATATTATTGTAGCACAGATACTGACTACTATTTACAGAGTGTAACAAGTGATATATATGACTCAGCACAGATACTGACTACTATTTACAGTGTGTTACATTGTGATAACTGGTGTATATAACTGTAGCACAGATACTGACTACTATTTACAGTGTGTGACTACATGACAATGGATGCCTTTTAGACATAAGTACAATGTAGACACTGATGATTACCAGGAGTGTTTGTAACATTGCCCAAGGATGAAGATGATTTGGATATTTCTTTCATAAGGAATCCTTCATAATTTTTACAAACATGTTATTTCTACATGTTGTTTCTACATTGTATTAAGACTTCTCTATAACAAATGTACAGGTAAACAAACAACTATATAGTCCCTAACTGTGTAGATGGAATGGAAACAGTTAAACATTATACATCACCATACTGATATGAAGATCATAATGGTTCTACACCAAGGTAAGCCTGTACATACCACCTACCTACAGATGACAACATACAGGTACATCCATATGATCGGCACACATCACTATACATACAGTTTGGAAAAAATTGACAACAATCAGTACGACCTAAAATTGGAACTTTCATAACACAGTAGTGAAATATAAATGATGAAATATTGCTTAATACAAATATCAGAAGTGTTTAAAACTAAACCCATCATTAAGAGACTCCAAGTTCACCCGATACTCTCAGTGTGACCCAACACAACGGCAAATTACCAGTATTAATAATAAATTTTCTTATAGCTTCCCCAGGCTTATGGGCTTAAATAAATGCTGAAAATGAATAACAAAACAAATTTTTTGTACTTTCTTCAAATTTTCTTTTACCTCAAATTTGAAATGCAACAGCTTTCCATTGTACTGAGCTGAAGTCACGTACAGGGGATATGACCTCAACAAACATGGGACCAATACTAATAACACACATTGATGTTTCAACACATCACTCAACAACAAAATTGTATCAAGAATAAATAATTAGGCACCACTCCTTAAACGTATCTTGAAGAACAGCTGTAAATGAGAATATTGCTGATGGTCTTTTTGGTGCATGGATTAATAAGTTATTCCATCACACTTGTCTAAACCATGTTAACACAGTAGCAGTTCAAAATGCGAATATATGATACATTTAAAAAAAAGATAAACTGGAAAAATGGCAAACTGGCCATGAAAATCATGTAGGCACTTATAAAAAGCACTTCCTGTAGATCATATAGTATTCTTATGTGGACAATTTCAGTAAGCTGAGGGCTAGTTACAATGGGAGGTTACAGTTTTAAAAACATAAGCAACAATTACAAACTCCTATGTTGTTACTGATAAACTGTAACACCAAACAAGAATATTATTGAAAGAAAATGAAACACTTTTGACCCAACAGATAATCAAAGCAGAAAAAAAGTGATGCACCTCTGAAACTGAAGCATACATCTAATGTTATCTGCATACTTTTAATAGTCTGCAACCTTGAAAGAAACATGAGTTAAGCATAACAGGAAATAAAATAGCAAAATAGTTAATATGTAATATATATATAACCTTAAGAGAAAATTATACAAAAGCATAACAGTAAAAACTAGCAAAATATATAATTTTCTAAATATCATAAAACATCTGTTTCAAATTCAATGAAAGTACACTATGTCAAATCAAAAATAATCTCTGCATAAAATCTTGGCCATTCATAGAAATAAGTCTGAAAATACTATTATATGTACTCAGTATCACAATTGGGGAACCAGATAAAATGTCACATTTTCAAGTTCGAAGAGTGCAGTTCAGTTACATCTGGGATTAACCATTGACGCCGACATTGACTGTTACTTGTGGTGCATGGACTTGGTTGCATTCATGTGTTAAGGGTAGTAGTTTCCATTACCTTTAATCTTGCTCTCTTTGTGACTTTAATTGTTGTTGTCCATGTTTCTAGTTTCATTAAAGTCTCCATCAGTATTACATAGCAATAACCATGTTCTTCAACTGTTACTCACATTGTAAACATAAACAGACCTATTGATGCTTGTTGGTCAATGTGTTGACACTGAACCTACAAGGTACCCCTTCAGTGATAATGCTGAGTACAAGTCAATGCATGCATAGATTTACAGTCCATGTGCATTTATCAAACCACAATTTACAAAGCCACAACACAAAAAATGCCTTTATTCTCTAAATTAGGTTAACAAGTTGTTACTCAAAAGTTCTGCCTCTCTGGGTTACGTATCCCATTTAGAGCTATGTTAAGATTTCAGCGGTCAACAGGTAGTCAAATAATACATCAATCATAACAACAAAGAGTATATGCTGAAAACCTATATCATGTAAATTAAACCAATAACTGTCTGTTTAAAGGTTCACGATTGATAAAGAAGAATTCAAAAACTAATCATCAACTTCATACAAATATCAACAAATAATTCTTTGAAAAAAGTATTTAAAAACATCACATATTCCCACCATGGACATCAGCTATGAAATACATGCTGCTCAGGAGAGGTTGTACAGATTTAGACTTGTAAGTACAATACATGTACAACTGCATTATCCATTGAAACTGGGATCAGTGTCGGCTACATCTCCTTCCTGCGCCGGCTGATCTCCTGCAGCAGCAACAGCCATGTGTTAGGAATGTGCATGCCCTTGATGCCTGGTGGGAGTGAGTCGATGTCTTCCTCTGTCAGGGTCTGATCAGTGCTGCTTGATCTGGTTCCTAGACCTTCATCACTGTTCAGTGACCTGTCCAGGTGACCTTGCAGCAAGTCTTTCAGGCTGAAGTAGAATTACATGTCAACAATCAGCTGCCAAATGTCATTAATCCAGATACAGTCAAACACTGTTGTGTTGTAACTGAAGGAACCTATGTGACTATGTCAGTGTATGAAATAAGGCCTGTCCGACCGGCGGGGACAGGCTAGATTTCTGACGGACGGTCTAGATTTACAGCAAGCCAGATGTTCCATACATGTGAGTAAATTCACCATATCTTGCTTGGTGTCTGGTCTGGTTACCGGTAAATCCATTTTGGGCTGGTTACATTTTCAAGTTTCCAGCTTTAATGTCGGCTGGGATTTTGGCTTATTTCATACACTGCCTATGTATAATATATTAAGTATAAATACTTTGAGTTATCCGACGTTTGACACAACTGCAACATGTTGACTGAAGAAGAAGTAAGCAGCGTCAGAGCTTTTACTTGGAAAAAACCACAAGTTTGAAACATCAAATAAAAGTTCAACACAACTATGTTTGACTGAGAAATGGACAATGGATACAGTCCAAAACAGCTAGCTGGACTTTCCACCATCCACATACATTTTGCCTTTCAAGTAGGAACATAAGAGTTTTATATTGCAAACATGAAAAAGAAATATAATAAAATAATTTTACATACAGTTTTTCTGAATGTACCTTCATAATAACATGAGGACTGTCTTACAAGTTTCTGGGACTTTTTGCAAACACATGGTGTCATCTATGATTTTCAGTGACCCATTCAAATTGATTTCACTGCTATCTTTCTATTTTCCGTCAATGGAATCTAATTAGGTGGAAACTCTCTGGTGATATTTATATTCCTTTGTGAGAGTCAATGTTTTATATATCTGTTTGTCGATCAGTCATAACACATAATACCCCAGCCATCCTATGCTCAGAGATTTGGTCTTCAAATCTGGGGAAAATACTTACATCAGTGGACTGGAAATATTTTGTGTTCAATATTTTAATACCTTCTAAATTTACATTATCACTTTCAGTGTCATTAGTGGTATCTTTCTTCTTTTTTCCTTTTCAAGATAATGAATCTTCTGTTGATTTCATGCAAGACATACAATCATTCAGTTCATGGCATTGTGACTTACATACCTCATGGACTTTGGACTTGGTCCATCAGAGTTGTCAGCAGGTACAGCCACCCACAGCAAGAGACAGTCGAACATCTCTTGAAGGAGAAACTCCAGCTTGTCAGGACTTTTCCTCTGACAGAACTCAAGTACATTTGTTCTTTCTTCCTCACAAAGATCTACTTTGTGTTCACTGTCAAGATTGCTGAATGGATCCTGCACAAACATGACATCACAAATAACTAACAGTCTGAAGTTCAGATTAGGTAGATACTATCCATGTGCTATAAATAGAGTCTGAGAAATAGGTATAAATAATTCAATTCAGAAAAGCTGAATTGATGTTGATCCAAAGCCACAGTGTAGCTTCAATTTCATGTCCTGATACAAGATTTCAATCATTTAACCCAGAATTCCTTTATCATGCAAAAACAGGTATTGATGTCATGCCCAAATTCATTGTGTCATACAGATGATCTTTGTGAATAATTTATATTCACAAGTGTAACAAACATCACATAGTATCAAGTTTAGTGTATGTAAGTCCAACGTCACATTAAAGACTTATACATGGAAATGCCTGCATGTGAGTTTACCTGGTGGTGTTCAGCAAGTATCACTGACTTCTGGAATGTCAGTAAAAGCCACAGTGATTGAACATGCCTGAACTCACAAACCTGCCTCACCTGAAATACACACATAAACTTCAATACAGTGAATTCATTGTTGAAAAATTACAGATATGAAAATAAAAGAAGAGCCTACTACAGTTCTGATATCATACTTTCAAGAAACCCTGGTCCCCAGGACTCTATGTGGGTCATAATAGGTCATCTTGCTAGGGACCAGTTCTGTCATGGAATCCCCTGAGGATCCCAGGACTCTATGTGGGTCATAATAGGTCATCTTGCTAGGGACCAGTTCTGTCATGGAATCCCCTGAGGATCCCAGGACTCTATGTGGGTCACAATAGGTCACCTAGCTTGGGACCACAATCAGGGTGTCAGGCTAAACAACTTTGTTCATTGTATGTCATTTTATCGTAACAGACTTAATCATTGCTTATAACATGAATCACTGATTATAGTCCGTTTGGCTCAAAAGCGGACCGATGAATTGCAATCTAACTCGAAAGCTAATAAACATAAAATACTCAATGAAACACTGATCATAATCAAAACGTCAGACCAACTCTGTGAGGTTTTTGCAGAATTTATGTCCTAAAAATAAAAAAGTTGTTTAACAAACTATCATGAAAATATTGACACAGTTCACTATTTGTTACGAGGGAGGAGTGCAGAGAAAGGGAGAGCCATGTGTGCGAGAAACGATGGAGACAGCACAGCACAGGTTAATGAATCAATAACTTTGTCGGCACTTGCCGAAACGAACACCTGGCTGTCCCTTTCTCTGCATCACCCTCGTAACAAATGGTCTGACGTTTTGATTATGATCAGCTTTTCATTGAGAGTTGGTCTGACGTAATATATTTATTAGTTTTCGAGTTAGATTGCAATTCATCGGTCCGATTTTGAGCCAAACGGACTATAGTCTGCACCAGTTCTCTATTACCCTCTATACTGTAAAATGTTTTCGAGTGGTCTGCACTGCGTGGGACTTCTTACTTATCTCCCTCTCATAATGTTTACATTTCAGTGGATATGATTTAGAAGTTTCCTGTAAGATGCAGGGTTTAGAAGTACCCTTACATTGATGTCACCAATATACATCATGTTTCAATCAATCTGTGACATATCAACTTTGACCATAGAGTATTCTGTGGGATAATTAGTGATGTTTGTCACACCTTCTGGCTAGTTATTGTCTGTTTCATTTTGAGTACAGCTGTCATAAAAATCTGCAGTGGCTTGTCTGGTTCTCCTCCCAAAGACTTGAGGAAACTGGTGGTGATGTCCAAGTTGTTGATGGAGTCACAGACATCTGGCAGGCTGGACTTTAGTTCAGACACAATTTGAAGCTTGACTGCTCGAGACAATGGCTCCTGAAATATAAAAACATATTTTGTGCACTTGCCACTGAATGGTCAGTGAGAGACCTGTCTGTCCGAGGGTACATCACAACATAAACTTATCATGCTTATGATGTTGAAGGTTTCAGCCTTCATCAGCAGACTACAAATTATCTACATATACCATTAAAAAATGTGTTAGAGGAAGGTTCTCGGAGAAATGAGCCATGACTGTTGAGATGAATGTTGAAAGTTCCCTTCATAGCATACAACTAAATCTTCCCAAGTTCATTTACGGACGAAAATTTGAGTTTCAGCTAATATTTCTTTGCTGAAAATGGCTCATGCGTGATACACACCTGTGGAATTCTGTCTTGAAGTGTCTTAAACACTGCTACATTTCCTGAATCTGCCCTGTATATCATTTGGTCAATCTGGAGAAAAACATGAGAAATATGAAATTTCCTGATTAAAATTGTTATTTTATACTTATCCTGACTCATGCTCTTTTGCTTGTAGAATCCTACGGAAACGGAGGTGGGAAAACAGAATACTTTGGGTTTAAATAATTAGTGATTTCTGTATAAGTAATACCCCCCTACGGGAACTTCCTAATGGCACTGTAATTAAGCTAATTCCTGCTGCTATAAAACATAAAGTTCTACCAGCTGCCATAGATGGGGGTACTACAATATATAGATACTATGATAATAGTAATAATGGTATACAGCGACTCCAAAATGGAGAAGCGACCCAATGTACATAAACATCAGTACTGGGCTTAAGACTATTACAGACTTAAGATATGTATATAATAGGTCAAACTCCGTAGAGTTATAAGCTAGATGCACTGGTATGATACATACATAATAATAATCTCGTGAGACTAATCATCGTCTACGAGGGACTGTCAACTGCTTTGCGAGGACCATGGGACCGAAATGGTAAATACCTGAGACGTCCTCGGTGGTGATATCTCTCAGATAGTGGTTAGCAAACACCATATCGGATTTCCAAAAAAAGCCCTCCATAATGGTATTCAGCGAGCAATTTCCAGTGCTCTGATTTCATGGGGATTAGATGCTCTTGGAGGGTCGAGTCCTGCAGCCTTGTAGGCACGAAGTATGACAGTTCTGATCCATATCGAAATGGTGGTACGAGAGACTTCGGTCTGAGTCGCTGTCGATAGAGGGATGAATAACCGCTTGAGTTGTCGTCGTTTTGGATCGTTGTAGATAGATTTTGAGTGCTCTGACTGGACATAGAGATAGGTCAAGAGTATCTTGAGGTCCGAGAATTGAGGAGAGTGCAGGAACATGGAATAATCTGTCTGGTTGACCTGGCAATTGATTCTTGGCGATAAAATCCCATCGCAGTCCCATATGCACTATGTTTTGATTGTCGTCAAAACGTATTCTCTCATGATCTAGTGCGTGAATTTCTGACATCCTGGCTGCTGTTGCTAGGGATAACAGGAACAATGTTTTCTGTGACAGAAATTCAAAGGTTGTTGATTCCAGTGGTTCATAGGCCTCACTTGTGAGGTGTTGGAGCACTATATTTAGATCCCTGCTGGAGCGCGAAATCTCTGTTTCTGATCCTCCAATCAGAATGCACGAAGTAAGGCGAGTAACTCTGGCGTCTTCGTTAACTTGACACCCGTTCTTATAGTTATCACGGAACTTAGAGCTGCGAGATAAGTTGACAATGTCGAGCCTTTTAAATGTTTATTTTGTCGTAGGTAGCACAGATAGTCAGCCACTTGTGGATGTGTAGCATTTCTCGCTATAAATCCCTTTTTACTAGCGTATGTTTCAAAACTGTGCCACTTGTCGTCATACAAGTTGCGTGTAGAATTGCGTAAAGCAAGCGTGACTGCTTTCGACGCTCTGGCTGAATAACCTCTCTTGTTTAAACACACTTAATACAGTCCATACGTGAAGTTTCCGTGCGCTTGTTTGGTGTGAGGATGTATTAGTAGATTCGAGCGCTTTGGTAGCTCTAGTGTTGGTTGTCCGATTTCTTGAATTAGAATGGGAAACCACGTTCTCGCTGGCCAGTAGGGCGCGACCAAAATCAGTTGGAGGCTCTGTGTTTGACTGATTTTCTGTAACACCTCATCTCGACGACCTACAACCATTTCTTGGGCACTAGGAAAACTGGGGAGTAGAAGCCTGGTTCGATGTTTACTTGATCCAGTACTTCTATGGCCTGCTTGATTAGTAGCGATGCAACAGCTTCTCTTAACTTTAGTAGTTGTTGCGCCTGAAAGTCGAACTTGTGAGGGTTGACTGTAAGCGGAGGCGTGGCCTGTAGTTGGATTCGATATCCGTGATGTAGGATTTTGGAGACATAAGGGTCTTGTAGCATTCCCCAGTTTTCCCATTGCAATTGAAGGCGTCCACCCACTTGTGATGGTTGTACTGGAACGGCTGGGGGTGGAAGTCTCCAGTCGTTCCAAACTCGACTTTCATCGTTTATAGTTGCGGGAACCTCTGGGTGCCCTGCCTCTTCCAGATCCTCTTCTGTAGTTGCCGTATGGGCGACGAAAAGAATCTTTTCCTCTTGAGGTGGCCATCTTCCAGTCCCGTGCCTACTGTAAGCCAGTAAACTTAGATTTGCCTGAATATCTCTGTGATGTCTGCCTGATGACGCTGGCTCGCGTATCCATCGACTTTATCATAAGGACTTCCCTTGAGTCCGAGTCACTTCTTTAGAGACTTTATCTATTCCTCCATCGAAGATAGATGGCGAAGACCACGGGGCTGTGTAGAGTGGAGCTGTAAACTGTTCACCCCAACTACAGGAAGTGAGGAGACCTTGACGACGAGCCAGAGTTAGCGCTGCGGAGACTGATGTAAGATGATCCGTTAAGAACTGCTGGTCCTTCTTCTGCATTAGGAGGGCCGAGTAGATCATTCTGTCATCTTCTGACGTAGAATCACGAAATCTGGTGATGAGAGTTTCATTAAAGGTCACATGCAACCAAAAAATCAAACATAATTAAAACACAATTATCACTTATTCATGACATATAATATACATTGCTGGTTATGAAAAAACATATAAACAAAATTATAAGCGTACAATCGCAAATCAAAAGTGCAATATTGTGTACTTGGGTTTACTTCCCAAGAAACGAAGCAGCCGGGATACCGAACCCAGTCAGAGCGGGTGGGTGTGCACTCAAGTGTAACGGCTGGTTCATTTGCAGATGCTCATTGTGTGTATATATATAGAGATGTTGGGTTTTGTAAATACATGCTCATTTTTTGTGTATAACATTTTGCAATCAACAGACATCATAACATGTCATGTGTTCAAGTATCACACCTGCCTGTCTGTGTAATTACATAATGTGACAGAGGCCGAACTCGGGCCATAAATCAATGCATTTTGTTTATGGTGTATAGCCTGATTAGTATTAAGTTCAAATTGCATGTGGTCAGTGATAGCAGCTGTGTATTGAATATTGTCATTAGCAGACAGGCAGGCAGACACACAGGTGTCAATAAAACAAGACATTGAGTTTTGTCTGTGACAACGACATATCTATATCACAGTTAGAAATTCTGTCAACGCTAAATAATGACATTGCTTTTAAGTATCGAACTGAGAAAGTGACTCTGTAAGAAGAACGTGTGGTGAAATAGACAAATGAAATTATATAAACAGTTAATTTACTGTCATAACATATAAAAAAGCTCGCGCCTGTGAGATATCAACAAAATATTAGAAAAATAGCTCACACCAAAGCCATCACCGAGTATTCACCGGACAACCCACTTCCAAGCTGCGCGAACCTATTTCACTGCGCACAAGCTATGAGCGCAGCCCAGCTGTTGAAACCCGGTTTTTTTCATCGCGTTATTTTTCAACTTTATAAGTTGATTTTGCATTTTTTGACGATTTGTTTCGGTAAGTCCATACCGAAAGGTATCAGAATCTGCAAAGTTGTGTTTTACGTTGCATGTGACCTTTAACCGTTCTTGATCTGTTAAGGCCAAAGAACATTCTCCTTGTCATGGTTTCGATCTGCACCAGCTTGCGGTCGTCTATCTTGTAGGTCTTATTCTTGGCATCGTTGATTACTTTGAAGTTATTGTGGATGTCTTGTGCCTTGAAAAAAGGGTCCATATTATGGGTTGAGAACTTTTTAGCGTTGAACTGTGGTGAGTGCCGCGCTTGGGCTTTAGTGGCTCTGTGGAAGGCTGTGTCCAGATTCTGAGAGACTGTTGCTCTCGGGTCGATCGGGGGTAGGGTGATGGTGTCTGCATCGTCCTCCCTCATGAGATAAGTGTGGGCCGGGTTACCGTTCTTGGAAGGTGAAGCTAGGTCCAGGTTGTTAACCATCCAATAGCGTATTTCTGCGTCGGAGAAAATGATGCCTCCATCATCTTCTGTAACGGGATCGCAATTCAGAGGTTGATCGGATGGTGACTGAGGTGGAGACCTGTATAATTCTACCGCTGTGCAGGGTGACGTCAACGGAGACCTGTCTGGGGACTTCCGTGAAGACTTGCGAGGCGAACGGTGTGATGACCTACGTGGAGATCGACGTGGTGAACGACATGGAGACCGGCAAGGAGATCGTCGTGGAGACCGGCCTGGTGGACTGCGTCGATATGGTGACTTTCGCGGAGATCGACGTGGTGAACGTTGATAGCTTCGCGAAGCTATCGGGGAATCCCTCAATGACTTTGTTATCGAAGATGACTTGGAGCCTGTATATGGAGCCCTTCGCGATTACCTTCGCGAAGCTTCATCTGAGTCCGGTCCTGGGGAGTGACGACTTGACCTTCGCGAAGGTTGTGGGTCCGAGTCAGAGTCCGGGGATGAGAGGATCTTCCTTCGCGCACCTCCTGGATGATCATCGGAGTCCGAGGCAGGTAACGATCTAGCTGTCCTTCGCGAAGGCTGTACATCTGGGTCCTTTGCCGAGGTTGGCTGTGACGACCTTCTCGAAGGTGGCTTCCCCATCGATGACTTGATAGCGGCCGCTACGTTGACGGAGGGTCCCTCTGGGGTGTCGTCTACGTAGGAGCCTTCACGAAGGCTCGGCCTCTGGGCTGGTTGTCTCTCCAGGACGTAGCGGTCTTCCATCATCTTCATAATGTGTAGGACCAGGTCGTCTGGGACGGTCTGCGAAGATGTAGATGGTGCCCTCTCTGCGTTGGTAGCGATGGGACCCTCAGGAAGATCGTCAGACATCAGCGTTGGTATATCAGACTGCGTGTTGATCTGCGCTGACGTCACTGTAGTCGACACCGGTCGTTTCTTGTGGCGTAGATCGGGTATGATGATCGGCTGATCATCATACAGGCCTAGTTCTGCGGCGGGAACAATGTCGGCTGAGAAGGTTCTAGTAGACTTCGCTGGTTTCCCCTGGGAGGTAGACGCTGCCCTGGGGGACGGAGTCTCTGCGCTAGACGAAGTGGAAGCCCTCTTAGTCTTCGGGCTGCACGCGGCGGGATGTCTGGGGATGCATGACGCTTCTTGGAGCTAGCGGACTGCGTCCCACGCCTCTCCTCCGAGGGTAACTCTAGCGGAACACCAGATGGGAGGGGGTCGTCCGACAGCAGTTGACTGGCTAGGGGTTCCGAAGTATCGGCCATGGCTAGGCTCTGTTTACGTGACCTATCTGCTGCGCGTCTCAAGACGCAAAGATAATATTTGTTAAATGCAGAGTTAGACAAATTTTTACAGTAACTGCAACGTGAAGAAAATGCACATGGTGCAGTACAGCTGGGGCATATCAAATGCGGACTGGCAGCAGAAAAACGTAGCCTACAAACAGTACAGATTTTCATCAATGCAATACTGCTGAACAATCACGGCGTCCCGTGAATAAACAGCAGAAATACGAATAAATATCAATACATAATTGTTGAAGGATACTAGCTAAACCTCTATAGATGACTACCAGAGGTAACTAACTAAGAATAATCAAAGGATATAGTGTGTAGGGAGACACAGGCGCTCTCACATCCTGCTCACTGGGCAAAGAAGGAGAGAGAGTGAAGCATGAGGGAAGAGGTGGCGCCTCCTTTCCCGCGCATTTGGAAGAGGGAGGCAACTCTTGGTGAGTACTAATTAGTGATTTTACATTGAAGGGAGCTTCAATTAGGGAGATACAAGTGTTCCACTATGTTCGCAAGAAGAAGAAGACAAGCAAAAGAGCATGAGTCAGGGTAAGGAAAAATAAAAATTACCAGACATATCAACATGTCAAGTGTGGAGCAAGGACATGATGTAATATCATTACATTTACATTTTAATCCTCTTTCTACATCACATACTATTCAAGAAAACTCATTATCACAACATACTCATACTCACTGGTATGACATGGGACTTCTGCTCCACTCTGGACTTGGCCTGTAGTATGACTTCTTTGAGCTGATACTCAAATCCTTCAAAGTCATACTCAATGGTGGTACCTTTCCCCAGCTCAAAGGAGTAGTTACAGTTGGCCAGGACAAGGGGCAGCAGGTCACGGTCAGGGTGGTAGCTGACCAGGTGGTTGCTGTGAAGTTTCCTCATGCTGACCTCAGGCAGGCGCTCATACCTTCAACAGAATCAACATCGGAATTAAATGATACACTGATGGTGATTGGATACCAATGTCACTGCAAAGTGGGGCATCCATTTGCAGTGAGCAGCTGACTTTGACCATGCTCTCTAACTCTTTTACCCTCAAATCAATAGTCTTTGACCTCTGGTCACAAAGCACCTCTGTAGCAAGTTTGAGACTAATGGTTGAATGGTACTCTAGATATTGTGTCCACAACACAGGCATGGACACACAGAGGCCAGTAACTATATTCCCTGTCAGCTTTGTTGCAAGGAGATATTAATTCTAATGAACATTCCTAAACAAGAAACGTTAAGACCTGAAGCAGCTACCTGGAACTGATCTTTTCACAGTAACTCTCCATGAATTTGTTATGCTTCCTGAAGAGGAACTCCAGCATCATGTAGGAGCAGATGCCAGGCCCTTGAGTGGACGGCAGAAGAACGGCAAGGTGAGAGTTCTCATCTATTCTCATGTTCTTGTAGGCAGCAGGCATGTGTATCAGATCATCATGGACTGTCCGGCATCCTGAAAAAGAGGTAACATATCTGTCATGCCCTTTCCAAAAATCTCCTGATTATTTATATACACAAATATACATGTTAAGACAATCAACTAAATTAATCTAGGTTCATCAGCCAATAACGTTGCATTATACATTACAATACCAAATAGTTTGATAATAAGACTTAGAAATAACTCAACCTTTACAATTTCATGCAAAATTTGTTACATTTCACAGATGGATTGACATGCAGGTCACTACAGTCCTGCACTATATATGGGGTGATATAACAAGCATACCTTAGTGCATGAATTAACCACAGAAGAAAATTTATCTAAAAATTGATGTATGTTGATGGTATATTGTTAATGTAAAATGGCTGTCTCACCATGCAGACTCTCCTTGACACATTCCCAAGCAGCAACCAAATCAGGCATCAGCTCATTTACATCCTTCTTAAAGCCCTCATCTACAATAAGATCATATATAGCAACTTGATTATCCTCGTAGTTTCTATAGACATTGAACCATTTAGAAATTGAGTACATTTCAAGACTACATTGATTCTAAAGGTTTTTCCCTTACCTTTGAAGAAATGTGGTGTCAAAATTATAATAGCAGATGAAATTTGAAAATGATTTGCTGTATTTTAAAGAAACTAATATGTGCCTTCCTTCATGAAGGGCATAGTGAGTGAGTGAGTTGGGTTTTATGCCGCTTTTAGCAATGGTCTCTGGTTCCAGCAATATCACAGCAAGGGACACCAGAAATGAAGGGCATAAATTTAGAAGGTTGTCAGCGAGATACATTTATGATCAAGATCATCGTGAAGGTCATTCTTGAAGTATGTTTGTCACTTTTCACTTAAATTAAAACAACAGTTGCCATTCTTCATAATTGTAAGAATACTACCCACTTTACATCTTTGCGGCAATGAAATCTGTGTTACAATCTGGGAGGCCATTATCACACTGTCACTGCCAGAACACACCAGAGATGATTTCCCTGTATTTCCTGATAATTCATTTAAAACCCTGAAACAATTAAACATTCTTCAGACAAAACATAAATTTATGCTGATAGATAAATCAATCTTTAATATCATCTTTAATTATTTACAAAATATTATAATTGCTAATCTATTTCGTATACATTTCCTCAACATTATAATGATGGCATATTCCATATATACTTTATCTCATACATACATATGCATATGCATATCATATCATATCATATTGGGAAACAAACAGCATGATACATTTCTTACCATGTCTACAACCCACCAAGTGCGTGGACCTGGGTACACTGACAGCTGCACGATCAATACAGCTATGAGGGGTGTTCAAAATGTATTCAGCCTCAATATATTCTCGATGCTCAATGTTTGAAAAGCTTCCATTTTATTTTGAAGGAATCATCAGCAAAGCCATATACAAAATTTAAAATATGTGGGTAATGTTGTTAACGAGATATTATTCACATTGGGGACTTGGGGTATAATATTTCTCTAAAAATTTATCATCACGATATGGCTGAGATATTGCCGATGTGACGTTAAATATTAACTCACTCACTCTTTAAAAATTGCAGAAAATGAAGAACGATCTGTCATTTGGTACCTCTTGCATAATGGTATGTTCTCAGATAATACATAAAATGTGTTTAGTATAGTAATTAACCTTCAAAGGTTTGGATTGCTTGATTTATATTTCGACGGGGCTGTTTTTTTAAGGATAACCCCATTTTGATCTTTCAAAAACATTGTGTCCAAATGTTCAAGCTGGCACTGTATAAAATATATTGAGAGCTGACACTTGTGTGACCATTCAGTATTTAGTTTGAAACCTTGGCATCATGTATGAATAAGTGAAAACATTGGAATAAGTGATATCCTTATGATTACATCATCTGAAAGAGGGTAATTGTCTCCAAAACAAGCTCTTTCAGTAAACATGAAGGGTGAGTCGCTTTAACAAGCGACTGCAGTTTCAAATTGCATATTTATGCACTTTACTATATCTAACTTTGATTCTAGCGGACTTTTTTTTAGCTTATTTTGCGTTTTTTAGGGGTACCAAGATAAAAAGTCACAAAAATGGTGATCATGAGGCTGGAACATAGCAATACCAATTTGCTTAAGGTTGACAGATAATATGTAGAAAGTAGAAAAATAAAAGCAGCCACATTTGTGTCGTTTCTTGGTTGGGCTTTGAACTTTTTAAAAGCCCCTCGTACATCTGCATGAATAAATAAACATATATACACACTGTGCAGGCTAATTATTGTTGAGTAATGAGAAACATTTAATATATATATAATGGTAAAACCTTGCTTCATTCATACTTTCACACATTATACATTCATACATTCATAAATTTACACATACGTTTACACACTATTTACCTTTCATAAATAATTACCGATACACTGATAATGCATTAACATTCTGCAGCACAATTAGTTATCATAAATTACTCAATATTTACAATATGACAAAGCAGCCAAATTATCAAAGCGTAAACACAATATCTATACACACCACATGAATTTACATACTACAAAAGTATTGAAAGAGACTAACCTTCAGAAATGATCCCATGAGCTCCAAAATAAATGTCAAAATCCAAATATGCACTATCCAATATCCACAAGTGCTTTTGTGACCAGCTGACAGTAGAAAGTGATTGTGGCTGAGGCAGAAAACGCATGCAGTAAGCTGAGAGAGGGGTTTAGAAAAGCTGAAGTGAAGTATATGCTGTTTAAGATACACCAAAGTGAATATTTAATTTAGTTAAAACTAAAGAATAAAAACTCTAAATATGTACAAACATTTCATCCTGTCACAAAGGAGAACAAAGGAGTACCACTCATCAATTCATTATCACTTTTTTATCCCCTGCCACGCATTTCGTGGGGTATTAAAATGGTCTCTGTCCGTGCATCCGTCCATCCATACACATTCATTTTTTCTGGAGCAGAACTTAAAAATCGCTTACTATTTCTTTACCAAACTTGGCACATGGATTCATCTGGTGGTGTACTGGTACCTTTTGGTAGTTTTGGAATTCGGAATAAAATATTTTTTGCGTTTCCATGGCAACAAGTTTGTCTGCAATGATGTTGGTGCTCCTTTCCTGGGCAGAACTTAAAAATCATACACTATTTTTTCACCAAACATCTCACACAGATAGGTCTGGTGGTGCCTTTTGATAGTTTAGGATTTCTGAATAAAATATTTTTTGGCATTTCCATGGCAACAAGTTTGACTTCGACTGAAATTGGAAGTAGTGCTCTTTTCCGGAGCAGAACTTTAAAACTGTTCAATATTTCCTCACCATATTTGGGACACAGATAGGTCTGGTGGTGTACTGGTGCCTTTTGGTAGCTTTGGAATTCGGAATAAAATATTTTTTTGCGTTTCCATGGCAACAAATTTGACTTCGACTGCAATGGTGTTGGTGCTCCTTTCCAGAGCAGAACTTAAAAACCGTTCACTATCACTTCACCAAACGTCTCACATATAGGTCTGGTGATGTACTGGTGCCTTTTGATAGTTTAAGATTTCTGAATAAAATATTTTGTTTGACTTTAACTGCATTTGGTTTTTAGTTCTCTTTTCCGGAGCAGAACTTTAAAACCGTTCAATATTTCCTCACCAAATTTGGCATATAGATAATTCTGGTGGTGTACTGGTGCCTTTTGGTAGTTTTGGATTTCTGAATATTCTCAGCCCTGTATAGCAGATGGCAGAAGACCATGGTAGATGGTAGCACTACCCAAATGTGAAGCATTAAACTGTGCTGACTTTACCACACTGTTAGTCCTTCCTGCAACAGTTATGATCAGTTCCATGGGATTCCTAGGGAAGAACCTGACAACCATCTGTAGGTCTGCAGAAATAAAGATTGATACAATGTCTAAGCCTTTCTGAACACTGACTAGTTACCCATGGTCTATGGTGATTTGAACACAAGAAAAGGTATGCATTCCAGTCTTCAACACAAAGTGACAAATGGAAAGGTGAAAATGGTTATAGTTTGATTTGAGAAAAACAAGTATCCTTGCAGTGAATGCATTTTTCACATCATGAGATTGATTTGGATGAATTCCATTTTGACAATGTATCTATTATTATTTAATAATGTGGTAATGCCATGTCAGTATACATATGATATCAATATGCTTTTGGTTTATTTGAGGCTCGACAGGAACCCCCGTTTTGCAATTGCATAATTGATTATTATAGGCTCTGGACTGACAGATGTAAACTGAAGAAGATAGTCATGAATTCCCCTATCTACATGGCTAGCATTGAAACAAAACAACATTAGTGTGGCCAAATCTCAGTAAATATCATGTGCTAAAACAAATTTACGTTTCAAAATTAATGTCAGAGATTTTACATACTTTGCCCACTAAATTCTGCCTGTCAAACTCTTGCTGGGGCTATACTATCAGCTATATTATTTTAGTTTATTATGCGTTAGCTAGTTACATCTTCATCTTACACCAACCAGAAACAAGTAACACTAGGTTTTTATAAAACACTGCCCCAGTGCTGAGGATATACGGGTAATCAGTGTTAAAACCACCACTCAGCTAAACACTGGTTATCAAAACTATTTTACACATAAGGAAAAGTTCACCTACCTTTTTTTAATGATCTTATTTGGGTTTTTCCCAACCGAATCTGTATACTGCAAACATATAGAACGACCATTGGGGAATTGATGGTACAACAGTTTTCTTATTCAATCTTAGAATAATCCAACATTTTTAGATTTGAAAGCATACACGAAATAATACTGTGAATGATGATTTGGTAGTTTTACAAAATTGCGAGATTTAGGTTCTACCTAATATGGGGTCGTTTTTGGTACTTTTGACGTAACTAAACCTGTTTCAGGACGGGTGTTTGACTCCAGTTGTACTGCATTGTAGGATAGATTTCTCGTAACCGGACTCCAACTGCTGTGTACTGTTCCATACCAACCATCCCCTCATCAAACGGTGGTGTTGAAACGTCTATTCGGTAAAAGGGAGACAACTCTGACAAAAACTTTATCCACACATCTCCATGTTTCGCTGTAAGCAATATATATCCCAATTAAGGAACACAGACGTAGTTTCATGAGCCGCAGACTCACGCATTCATTCTGACTCGAATCCACAGGAGTGTTCTGTTACCTACATGGATAGAACTCACTGGATTTGCACAACCATGCCGTAGATGGTCAAAGGGAAGTAATTATAAATACTGGTTTCCCTTTGACAAACAACTTACCTCCCTTCTTGATAAGGGACATAACTCTTGATTTTGATATACTCAGTTAGCTCCCTTGCTATTGGCGGCAGTGTGTGAAGTTTTAAACAAGACACAGTGTGGAGTTCAAGCAGGGGAGTTAACTCAGGGAGAAAACGATTACCTCCCTTTGACCATAAACAGTCACGCCAGACTACTTGCGAGATCTCAATTCACAGTTTTGCAGCTGACAAAATGGGTTGCAAAATATAGGCTGAGAAAACATTTTGTATAATTTCATGACCAACATACACCTACACTTTCCACCACACCCGGTTTATGCCAATATCTGCATGCTTCAGTAATAAAACTCGCAATGCACCGCGATGATGGTCAAAGGGAAGTAACTTTATACCATTTGTATCGTTTGCTAAACAGACTTACCTCCCTTTGCCATCGCCAAGGGAGATAACTGTTGGTTTTCAAAAAATTGTAATTCGCGATTAGCTCCCTTTGATTGAGAGCAGTGTGTGAAGTTTTATGAGAGACACTGTATGGAGTTCAGGCAGGGGAGTTAACTCGTGTACGAGACGATTACCTCCCTTTGACCATAAACGAAAACGGTCTTTTGCAGTGGTTTTTGGGGTGTGGGTTTTGTTTTTTTAGGTATTATGCCAAGTTCATATTCAGAAAAAAAGATTCGGATGAAAGAAGAACAAGATTTAAATCTGTACATTGAGTATGTACTCATAAACTGAAACTGAAATGGTAACCTACCTGGGATTGTCTGTAGTTCCAGTACCAACAACCCTTTCAGCAACTGAACCAGCTGAAAAGGGAAGAAGGTGTCACACACTATATATATATGTATATTGAGATTACAGGATGTAGTTTCCTTGGCCTCGTACTGACGATTTCAGTTTCATTCGGGACAATCTAAGCTTATTCCGCTAGCTGCAAAATGGATTTGCTGGGGTCGTGTTATTGATGGTCAAAGGGACTGTAAATCCTCTTTTCTTCAGAGTGACCTCCCTTTTGGCCAAGGGACATAACTGTCGATTTGTTATACACAGTTAGCTCCCTTGGAAGGTCGATGATGTGTGGAGTTTCAATCGAGACACTGTGTGGAGTTAATGCAAGGGGGGTAACTCTTCTACGAACATGGTTGCTTCCCTTTGACCGTACTCAGTTTTGGCCGGGTTTTTGTAGTGTTGCATGTAGTAAGAAAATGTGAACGGCATTCTTCCGCCCGCGTTTTTGTTGTTCTCTAAAACTGTTTTAGTTGAAGAAATATATATGGTACTCAGTACTACTGCTGATCACATGGTCTAAAATGAGTTGGAATAGCTGAAAATTAACCTCTCCATTCCCAACTTTGTGCAAACAGTGTGAAATGAGGACAAAATATTTCACAAATCACTTCACTTCAATGAAAAGTTCACCAGTATGCTACTTGCCATGGCTTATTTTGAAAAAAAGTGCCGTAAAATATTTTTTGCACATATACGTCCCTTAATGATTCTTTGTCTTTTACTTATACAGATGTCTTTAAAAAATTCTACAATGTTGTTTTACAGGGGGCACAGCAAGTACATCTTACTTGCTTATGTGAATCAAAGAGTGAAAATACTTTTGAACATTGTACAGAGTTTATCAAGTTTCTTTAACTTTGTCCATACTTGCTGCAATGGGAAAAAGTTCTCTCAGTATTACATTTCTGGAGTTACTTCCCCTTTCCTTTCTCATGCTTGATTTTCAATGCATGCAACTGAACCAATACAGGGGGCCTTCCAAACCAATAGAAATTCTTGGCTTCAGAGCCAGGGCCCAAGGGTCACTTGCAGTATGAAACTAATCAAATTTTGTAATTTTCATCGTCATAAAAAGTTATTTCTTGACATTTAGAGAGCTAGAATATGATCTACTGCATTCAAATGTTTAATCAAATGCTGACAGAGTTCTACATACATCACTGCTAAAGGCTATTTGGATTTGTCATGAGATGACTTGACTCTTTCATTGGAAGTATCACGACTCCCAACTGTATGCTTGAGAGTTTGCAGGTCTGGCTCAGTTACACAGGGATGGTTCAGTGCGACCCTCCTTTGAAGGCCAGAGTCACTCTTGCAACCATATTAAGATATTTATTTTTGGTTCTTTTAACTACACAAAAAGAAGTATGTGAAAAGTCCAAGTTAAAGTAATATAACCACAGGCATGAGACTTTCTGTTTCTGTTGTCAGACCACATCATGACATGTAATCCCCCTTAGTAACACAGTAATTGTATTCAATGGGAAGTGTGTACAGTTTTCTTATTAGGTGGACTTTCTGTTAAGGTGTCTTGTATTACACACATATTGTCCCAAACCAGAAGGGCCTATTACTTTCTTATTGTCTTATGTGGAAGTGTCATTCATGTGATACAATGTTCGAAATGTAATACATGGCATACAGAAGGGAACAGTGGTGTGCACTATATTTAGACGTGCACTATATTTAGATGTGCACTATATTTAGATAGAGTTCTGGAAGATACTTAACAGGGTACAACAACCCTCGTCTGATGCAGAGATCATTATAGAAAAATGTAGTTGCTCTTTCTTAGGTATGTCAGGAGAGTTAACTATTGCCTCTCATGTCATTACATTACAGGTTACAGGAAGATCAGCAATTGTATGGTCATATCTTACCCTGAATACTCAGCCAAGGCTAAATATTGTATGATCAACTTTTGGAGCAGCAAGGTGAATACACATGTATTACAAAGGGGGGAGGTGCGCGCACCCCTGCACACATACACACACCCTCTGGATCCGCCTATGTAAGGTGTGTTTATGATAGCTTCTTAGAGTGAGCGAGTTTAGTTTTACGCCGCACTCAGCAATATTCCAGCTATATGGCGGCAGGATAGCTAGAAGTATATGGGTTGAAGATGAACTTTGATACAAACATTAAAGGATCAGAGAAATACAGATATTGGTGCGACCATGCAGAGCCCATACAGAATTGGCCTGGTCTTCATGTAATAAGAGACAACAAATGAAACTTGGTGATTTGGTTAATGCATATTGTCATATTTCTGAACTTTTGCAGAGTGCTGCATTAATATAAACAACACACAAAGATATTATCAAGCTCAGTTGTCACCTGCTTTGGTACAGATGAAAATGGTTCATGTCATGTTTCTCTTGAAAAGGCCTTCAAGAAAAGGTGTCATGTAATGAAAATACTTTAATTGTTTCTTTTGCTTATCCTTCTTATCTGATCTAATGCAGTGTTCCAGCAACGTGCAGTGAACTTGGACAAAGTACTGTGGCTATGTGTCCCAGTCCACCCAGCTGTGAATGGGTACCTCGTTAGGATGAGAAAGCCGCAATAACTCGGTGTGCCTAGTGGCTGCAAGAGTTGTATACTCCCAAGGGAGTTGAGATCGATAACACGATGTGCCATTGAGATTGACATCCAATGATCGAGGGGAAAAAATACCAGCGCCTTGAGCATGCACTAGTTGCCTGGATATGTGCGCTATATAAATATCCTATAATAAAAAAATAATAATATCAGGTGAGCCACAGGGCTTTGTGGTGCTATCTTTTTAACAGACAACAAGTACACAAAGCATATGATTTAATGAAGCAATAAACAGCAAATACATTGTTACATTGGTGTATTTACTGTATTTATCAGTAGTGATATCTTCAGTATCACAACATTTTTTAAATATAAACATGAAAAAGAGATCTGTTTAAAAAAGATTGGTTAAACATGACATATCAAATATTCGAACATCAGTATCTGAAATCTGTCCCATGTTTGTTGATAGCTCGAGATCCTGCATTTACATCATATAGTTCATGCTGTTGTTTCAAATGCCAACAAAGCCTGTTAGTTTCACAACCAGTTTCCCATTAACCTCACTTCACAATGGTAAATACATAGAAAACATTCACACCTGAATTCATCAGTTAGAGAAACCACATGTACTGTGTCAATATCAAGACCATTACAAAATCACATCTACGGCCTACTCAAGTTGTGAATGTAATCTAACATAAGAAACATTCTCTCTTAACAAGTTTGTCTCAAATAATAATAATCCAGATATACATATACATATTTCATAATGACAAGAAAGATAAATGGCCAAATACTACTCTTAGTATTGGAATAAGAAGGAAACTATCTTTTTAAAGCTACCAATACATTAATTGTTTGAAAATAGCTGAGGAAATTAAACCATGTCCAAATAATATAACCCCAAACAATTTTCACACAAAAACAACTCTCTCATTGATCAACATAGTGACTATTCTTCGAACTACCTGTTATGATTGACTGTATGGCAATGATAACAAACTTTAGACAGCAGGTAATATGTGACTTAAAGCATGGCTCTATTAAATTCACTTTAAGTGAAGAGATGTGATTAGATCCAATATATAACAACACAGTTTAAACTGCATATACAAGTAGCCAGTAGATCTCCAGTTGCAGTGGAAATTGACAGGTTTGAGTATATACCATACAGACCAAAGATAACTTGATGACTGATATTTACAGAGAAGCTTAAACACTTAAAGACACAAGGATATGTTTATGATCGTTTTCACTATTACAGTTGTCACATGCATACTATATGGTCTTTTAAATCAGTTCTGTAAGTAAAACATACATGTATAAAAGTTTAAAAGGTGGCACTATGTCCTAGAGCTCAAATGAAAATGTTCAACAGTTTCTAAATATGATTTATGACTATTAACACCTAAATTCATAACCTATTGAATGAGCAAATTTCTGCAAAAGCAAAACACACAAGTGGATGGTCCAGTTATATTGAAAGTGTTTGTGTTTATTAAAAAAGAAACAGGCTGTAGACATTGACCACCAGCACTATTTACAATGTGTGGGTACATTTCTTACAGTTTGTGACATTGTGACTACTGATGTATATAACTGTAGCCCAGATACTGACTACTATTTACAATATGTGGGTACATTTCTTACAGTGTGTGACATTGTGACTACTGATGTATATAACTGTAGCCCAGATACTGACTACTATTTACAATATGTGGGTACATTTCTTACAGTGTGTGACATTGTGACTACTGATGTATATAACTGTAGCCCAGATACTGACTACTATTTACAGAGTGTGACATTGTGACTACTGATGTACATAACTGTAGCCCAGATACTGACTACTATCTACAATGTGTGGGTACATTTCTTACATCGTGACATTGTGACTACTGATGTATATAACTGTAGCCCAGATACTGACTACTATTTACAATGTGTGGGTACATTTCTTACATCGTGACATTGTGACTACTGATGTATATAACTGTAGCCCAGATACTGACTACTATTTACAATATGTGGGTACATTTCTTACAGTGTGTGACATTGTGACTACTGATGTATATAACTGTAGCCCAGATACTGACTACTATTTACAATGTGTGGGTACATTTCTTACGATGTGTGACATTGTGACTACTGATGTATATAACTGTAGCCCAGATACTGACTACTATTTACAATGTGTGACATTGTGACTACTGATGTACATAACTGTAGCCCAGATACTGACTACTATCTACAATGTGTGGGTACATTTCTTACATCATGACATTGTGACTACTGATGTATATAACTGTAGCCCAGATATTGACTACTATTTACAATGTGTGGGTACATTTCTTACATCGTGACATTGTGACTACTGATGTATATAACTGTAGCCCAGATACTGACTACTATTTACAATATGTGGGTACATTTCTTAAAGTTTGTGACATTGTGACTACTGATGTATATAACTGTAGCCCAGATACTGACTACTATTTACAATGTGTGGGTACATTTCTTACAGTGTGACATTGTGACTACTGATGTACATAACTGTAGCCCAGATACTGACTACTATTTACAATGTGTGGGTACATTTCTTACAGTGTGTGACATTGTGACTACTGATGTATATAACTGTAGCCCAGATACTGACTACTATTTACAATGTGTGGGTACATTTCTTACAGTGTGACATTGTGACTACTGATGTATATAACTGTAGCCCAGATACTGACTACTATTTACAATGTGTGGGTACATTTCTTACGGTGTGTGACATTGTGACTACTGATGTATATAACTGTAGCCCAGATACTGACTACTATTTACAATGTGTGGGTACATTTCTTACAGTGTGACATTGTGACTACTGATGTACATAACTGTAGCCCGGATACTGACTACTATTTAGAGTGTGTGACATTGTGACTACTGATGTACATAACTGTAGCCCAGATACTGACTACTACTGTGTGGGTACATTTCTTGCGGTGTGTGACATTGTGACTACTGATGTACTGTAGCCCAGATACTGACTACTATTTACAATGTGTGGGTACATTTCTTACAGTGTGACATTGTGACTACTGATGTATATAACTGTAGCCCAGATACTGACTACTATTTACAATGTGTGGGTACATTTCTTACGGTGTGTGACATTGTGACTACTGATGTATATAACTGTAGCCCAGATACTGACTACTATTTACAATGTGTGGGTACATTTCTTACAGTGTGACATTGTGACTACTGATGTACATAACTGTAGCCCGGATACTGACTACTATTTAGAGTGTGTGACATTGTGACAACTTGTGTATATTATTGTAGCCCAGATACTGACTACTATTGACAGAGTGTAACAAGTGATATGCATAACTGTAGCACAGATACTGACTACTATTTACAGTGTGTGACATTGTGATAACTGATGTATATAACTGTAGCACAGATACCGACTACTATTTACAGTGTGTGACATTGTGATAACTGGTGTATATAACTGTAGCACAGATACTGACTACTATTTACAGTGTGTGACTACATGACAATGGATGCCTTTTAGACATAAGTACAATGTGGACACTGATGATAACCAGGAGTGTTTGTAACATTGCCCAAGGATGAAGATGATTTGGATATTTCTTTCATAAGGAATCCTTCATAATTTTTACAAACATGTTATTTCTACATGTTGTTTCTACATTGTATTAAGACCTCTCTATAACAAATGTACAGGTAAACAAACTATATAGTCCCTAACTGTGTAGATGGAATGGAAACAGTTAAACATTATACATCACCATACTGATATGAAGATCATAATGGTTCTACACTAAGGTAAGCCTGTACATACCACCTACCTACAGATGATAACATACAGGTACATCCATATGATCGGCACACATCACTATACATACAGTTTGGAAAAAATGCCAACAATCAGTACGACCTAAAATTGGAACTTTCATAACACAGTAGTGAAATATAAATGATGAAATATTGCTTAATACAAATATCAGAAGTGTTTTTAAAACTAAACCCATCATTAAGAGACTCCAAGTTCACCCGATACTCTCAGTGTGACCCAACACAACGGCAAATTACCAGTATTAATAATAAATTTTCTTATAGCTTCCCCAGGCTTATGGGCTTAAACAAATGCTGAAAATGAATAACAAAACAAACTTTTTGTACTTTCTTCAAATTTTCTTTTACCTCAAATTTGAAATGCAACAGCTTTCCATTGTACTGAGCTGAAGTCACGTACAGGGGATATGACCTCAACAAACATGGGACCAATACTAATAACACACACTGATGTTTCAACACATCACTCAACAACAAAATTGTATCAAGAATAAATAATCAGGCACCACTCCTAAAACGTATCTTGAAGAACAGCTGTAAATGAGAATATTGCTGATGGTCTTTTTGGTGCATTGATTAATAAGTTAATTTCAGTAAGCTGAGGGCTAGTTACAATGGGAGGTTACAGTATTAAAAACATAAGCAACAATTACAAACTCCTATGTTGTTACTGATAAACTGTAACACCAAACAAAAACATTATTGAAAGCAAATGAAACACTGTTGACCAAACACTAATCAAAGCAGAAAAAAGTGATGCACCTTTCTGCAACCTTGAAAGAAACATGAGTGAAGCATAACAGGAAATAAAATAGCAAAATAGTTAATATGTAATATATATATAACCTTAAGAGAAAATTATACAAAAGCATAACAGTAAAAACTAGCAAAATATATAATTTTCTAAATATCATAAAACATGTTTCAAATTCAATGAAAGTACACTATGTCAAATCAAAAATAATCTCTGCATGAAATATCATGTAAATGAGTTTCAAATCCATGTACACAGCCAATCATAGAAATAAGTCTGAAAATACTATTATATGTACTCAGTATCACAATTGGGGAACCAGATAAAATGTCACATTTTCAAGTTCGAAGAGTGCAGTTCAGTTACATCTGGAATTAACCATTGATGCCCACATTGACTGTCACTTGTGGTGCATGGACTTGGTTGCATTCAGACATGTGTTTAGGGTAGTAGTTTCCATTACCTTTAATCTTGCTCTTTTTGTGATTTTAATTGTTGTTGTCCATGTTTCTAGTTTCATTAAAGTCTCCATCAGTATTACATAGCAATAACCATGTTCTTCAACTCTTACTGACATTGTAAACATAAACAGACCTATTGATGCTTGTTGGTCAATGTGTTGACACTGAACCTACCAGGTACCCCTTCAGTGATAATGCTGAGTACAAGTCAATGTGTTGACACTGAACCTACCAGGTACCCCTTCAGTGATAATGCTGAGTACAAGTCAATGCATGCATAGATTTACAGTCCCTGTGCATTTATCAAACCACTATTTACAAAGCCACAACACAACAAATGCCTATATTCTCTAAATTAGGTTAACAAGTTGTTACTCAAAAGTTCTGCCTCTCTGGGTTACGTATCCCATTTAGAGCTGTTAAGATTTCAGTGGTCAACAGGTAGTCCAATAAAACATCAATCATAACAACAAAGAGTATATGCTGAAAACCTATATCATGTAAATTAAACCAATAACTGTTTGTCTGTTTAAAGGTTCACGATTGATAAAGAAGATTTCAAAAACTAATCATCAACTATCATACAAATATCAACAAATAATTCTTTTAAAAAGTATGTAAAAACATCACATATTCCCGCCATGGACATCAGCTATGAAATACATGCTGCACAGGAGAGGTTGTAAAGATTTAGACTTGAAGTACAATACATTATCCATTGACACTGGGATCAGCATCAGCTACATCTCCTTCCTGCGTCGGCTGATCTCCTGCAGCAGCAACAGCCATGTGTTAGGAATGTGCATGCCCTTGATGCCTTGTGGGAGTGAGTCAATGTCTTCCTCTGTCAGGGTCTGATCAATGCTGCTTGATCTGATTCCTAGACCTTCATCACTGTTCAGTGACCTGTCCAGGTGACCTTGCAGCAAGTCTTTCAGGCTGAAGTAGAATTACATGTCAACAATCAGCTGCCAAATGTCATTAATCCAGATACAGTCAAACACTGTGTTGAAACTGAAGGGACTGTCAGTGTATGAAATAAGGCCTGTCCGACCGCACGAGACGGGCTAGATTTCTGACGCACGGTCTAGATTTACAGCAAGCCAGATGTTCCATACATCTGAGTAAATTCACCATATCTTGCTTGGTATCTGATCTGGTTAAATCCATTTTGGGCTGGTAACATTTTCAAGTTACCAGCCCTGATGTCTGACTGGGATTTTGGCTTATTTCATACACTGCCTATGTATAATATATTAAGTATAAATACTTTGAGTTATCCGATGTTCGACACAACTGCAACATGTTGACTGAAGAGGAAGCATGCAGGGACAGAGCTTTTACTTTTACACAAGTTTGAAACATCAAAGTTCAACACAACAATGTTTGACTGAGAAAAGCTTTATGCCATGGACTCCAAAACAGCTAGCTGGACTTTCCACCATCCACATCCGTTTTGCCTTTCAAGTAGGAACTTAAGTGTTTTATATTGCAAACATGAAAAAGAAATATAACAAAATAATTTAAAATGCAGTGTTTCTGAATGTACCATAATAACATGAGGACTGTCTTATAAGTTTCTGGGACTTTTTGCAAACTCGAGATAATGAATCTTCTGTTAATTTCATACAAGACATTCAGTTCATGGCATTGTGACTAACATACCTCATGGACTTTGGACTTGGTCCATCAGAGTTGTCAGCAGGTACAGCCACCCACAGCAAGAGACAGTCGAACATCTCTTGAAGGAGAAACTCCAGCTTGTCAGGACTTTTCCTCTGACAGAACTCAAGTAGATTTGTTCTTTCTTCCTCACAAAGATCTACTTTGTGTTCACTGTCAAGATTGCTGAATGGATCCTGCACAAACATGACATCACAAATAACTAACAGCCTTAAGTTCAGATTAGGTAGATACTATCCATGTGCTAAAAATACAGTCTGAAAAATAGGTATAAATAATTCAATTCAGAAAAGCTGAATTGATGTTGATCCAAAGCCACAGTGTAGCTTCAATTTCATGTCCTGATACAAGATTCAATCATTTAACCCAGAATTCCTTTATCATGCAAAAAACAAATTCATTGTGTCATACAGATGATCTTTGTGAATCATTTATATTCCCAAGTGTAGCAAACATCACATAGTATCAAGTTTAGTGTATGTACGTCCAACGTCACATTAACGACTTCTACATGCCATGATGGAAATGTGAGTTACCTGGTGGTGTTCAGCAAGTATCACTGACTTCTGGAATGTCAGTAAAAGCCACAGTGATTGAACATGCCTGAACTCACAAACCTGCCGCCTGAAATACACACATAAACTTCAATACAGTGAAATTACAGATATGAAAATAAAAGAAAAGCCTAGTACATTTCTGATATCATACTTTCAAGAAACCCTGGTCCCCAGGACTCTATGTGGGTCACAATAGGTCACCTAGCTGGGGACCACAATCAGGGTGTCAGGTTAAACAACTTTGTTGATTTTATGTCATTTTATTGTAACAGACTTAATCATTGCTTATAACATTAATCCCTGATTTGTCTGCACCAGTTCTCTATTACCCTCTATACTGTAAAATGTTTTCGAGTGGTCTGCACTGCGTGGGACTTCTTACTTATCTCCCTCTCTTAATGTTTACATTTCAGTGGATATTATTTAGAAGTTTCCTGTAAGATGCAGGGTTTAGAAGTACCCTTACATTAATGTCACTAATATACATCATGTTTCAATCAATCTGTGACATATCATCTTTGACCATAAAGTATTCTGTGGGATAATAAGTGATGTTTGTCACACCTTCTGGCTAGTTATTGTCTGTTTCATTTTGAGCACAGCTGTCATAAAAATCTGCAGTGGCTTGTCTGGTTCTCCTCCCAAAGTCTTGAGGAAACTGGTGGTGATGTCCAAGTTGTTGATGGAGTCACAGACATCTGGCAGGCTGGATTTTAGTTCAGACACAATTTGAAGCTTGACTGCTCGAGACAATGGCTCCTGAAATTTAAAAACATATTTTGTGCACTTGCCACTGAATGGTCAGTGAGAGACCTGTCTGAGGGTATTTCATACCATAAACTTATCACGCTTGTGATGTTGAAGGTTTCAACCTTCATCAGCAGACTACAAATTATCTATATATACCATTAAAAAAATGTGTTAGAGGAAGGTTCTTGGAGGAATGTTGAAAGTTCCCTTCATAGCATACAACTAAATCTTCCCAAGTTCATTTACGGACGAAAATTTGAGTTTCAGCTAATATTTCTTTGCTGAAAATGGTATAACTCATGCTTGATACACACCTGTGGAATTCTGTCTTGAAGTGTCTTTAACACTGCTACATTTCCTGAATCTGCCCTGTATACCATTTGGTCAATCTGGAGGAAAACATGAGAAATAAAAATTACATATCAAGATGTCAAATGTGGAGCAAGGACTTGATGTAATATCATTACATTTACATTTTAATCCTCTTTCTACATCACATACTATTCAAGAAATCTCATTATCACCACATACTCACTGGTATGACATGCGACTTCTGCTCCACTCTGGACTTGGCCTGTAGTATGACTTCTTTGAGCTGATACTCAAATCCTTCAAAGTCATACTCAATGGTGGTACCTTTCCCCAGCTCAAAGGAGTAGTTACAGTTGGCCAGAACAAGGGGCAGCAGGTCACGGTCAGGGTGGTAGCTGACCAGGTGGTTGCTGTGAAGTTTCCTCATGCTGACCTCAGGCAGGCGCTCATAGCTGCAATACAATCAGCATCCAAATTAAATCATACACTGATGGTGATTGGATACCAATGTAACTGCAAAGTGGGGCATCCATTCGCAGTGAGCAGCTGTCCACAACACAGGTATGGACACACAGAGGCCAGTAACTATATTCCCTGTCAGCTTTGTTGCAAGGAGATATTAATTCTAATGAACATTCCTAAACAAGAAACGTTAAGACCTGAAGCTGCTACCTGGAACTGATCTTTTCACAGTAACTCTCCATGAATTCATTATGCTTCCTGAAGAGGAACTCCAGCATCATGTAGGAGCAGATGCCAGGCCCTTGAGTGGACGGCAGAAGGACAGCCAGATGAGAGTTCTCATCTATTCTCATGTTCTTGTAGGCATCAGGCAGGTGTATCAGACCATCATGGACTGTCCAACATCCTGAAAAAGAGGTAACATATCTGTCATGCACTTTCCAAAAATCTGATTATTCATATACACAAATATACATGTTAAAGACAATCAACTAAATTAATCTAGGTTCATCAGCCAATAACGTTGCATTATACATTACAATACCAAATAGTTTGATAATAAGACTGAGAAATAACTCAACCTGTACAATTTCATGCAAAATTTGTTAAATTTCACAGATGGATTGACATGCGGGTCACTACAGTCCTGCACTATATATGGGGTGATATAACAAGCATACCTTAGTGCATGAATTAACCACAGAAGAAAATTAATCTAAAAATTGATGTATGTTGATGGTATATTGTTAATGTAAAATGGCTGTCTCACCATGCAGACTCTCCTTGACACATTCCCAAGCAGCAACCAAATCAGGCATCAGCTCATTTACATCCTTCTTAAAACCCTCATCTACAATAAGATCATATATCGCATATTGATTTCAACTTTGGGGAAAGGATAGACTGTGAATGCAACAGGATGAGAAGCTCACCTTCTCCAAAGATAACTTTGATATCCTGATAAATACTACCGGGTACTGGTCACTAGATTTTATCCAGTCACAAGACCCATCACCACCCCACCCCAAACGTGCTGAGATCTTATTGTCAAACAAGTGTTTGCCACTAACATGGCAATGTCCCCCGCTGCTAAAGAAGAATGAAATATAACATATTTACTAGTTTTTATCTTTTGGTCTCACAGAAGATTACCTTTTGTGTGATGTAGTTTTAAGTCATGGTTACTCCTCAGAATCTTCTCTTAACTCTAAAGATATTCCAGGCATATAGTAGATTCGAATGTATAGAAGCGGATGCACATATCCACTGTCAGTATCAGTGTGTATTAAGGCTGGGATGGGTCGAAATTCTCTACCTGGGTACCCCACTCCCTATTACCCTACCCTGCACGATATGTTAATTCCTGACATCAGATTTGTAAGAAATGGCAATATATTCTCCATCTCGGAGACTAAAATTTCGAGTTTTCAATATCTTAATCATGTATTATATTCAAACAGGTGACTGTAAGTTATGTCTAAATTTCCAAAGACAATACAACTGTTTAATGACTGGTGTCTGCATAATCACCCAATGTAGGCTCTTGACATAATTGAAGACTTTGGGTACAGTAAGTTTTATGAGATATCATGTTTGAAAAGTGGTCAAAGTGTCATGGTGACCTTGAAGATAAGGTCATTGACGACATTGGGTACAATTGTGCCTGAGATATCTCGTTAACAAGAGATTGAAAAGTGGTCAAAGTATCGTAGTGAACTTGAAAATAAGGTCAAGGTCACCCAAATTGAGTGGTGTCTGTGTAATCCAACAATGTAGGCTGTCACCAAATTTGAAGATAATGGGTGCATGAGATATCGCGTTAACAAGAATCTGGGCATACGTACGTACCTACCCTGCTGAATACATGATTAAACATTGTTACCAAAACCTTGAAGGAAGGAAATATAAGTAAATATCTGGTCTACCTGATACAGTTGAAATGATAGAACATGGTCTTGGAACCACATCACAATCCTCTGCTATCAACTTCCCCACATGCTAACTGCTGGTGCAGATGAAATGATGAAACTGGACACACAGTAAAGTACTCTACCTTCAGTTGAGAAAATGTCTGTGATGGTCATTTCACAGGCCTGAGAGAGATCAAGGCGATGCCTGTACTTCTCCATAAGAAGTTGTTGCAGATGGAGAATGTTAGGGATGTGGTGCAATGCCTGCAGGTGTTGATGCTGAAACACAGATCATGCTGTGGACATCCTTGTCTTTGTTCTTAAAGTTTGCTACAGTTCCCTTTATTTTCTTGTAAATTAATAGCCTAAGTAGAGAAGTCTAAATAATCCATTCCAGTGGCATTGTAATTGTCTACTAATAGAGAGTCATGTCTAAAAGATGAAACAAATCAACAGACCTGCAGGTTTAATTTATGACAAAATGTATTGGTTATGACTATAAAAACAAGCCATGTTATGTTATCAGCACCATACCTCTTGACTGAAGAGACTGAGCACCTCAGTCTTGGAATTCTTGCCCTTGATGTTCTCTACTTTCAGATGAAACTCTCTCAGGAAATGCTCCAATGTGATACGTGACCGGTACCTCCAGACAGCTGGGAACTCGTGGAGACAGTCAACTTCCTGGGGAGTGGTCATGTCTACTGGTGGTACTTCATACAGAACAGACATCAGCTTGTTGGAACCTGTGTGTACATAACTTCCTTAAGTGGCATTTAGAATCTGGTATGATGAAGAGGAACACTTTTTATGGACAGACAACTTCTTTGTTGCAGTAGATGTGTAGATCCTAACACCATTATCAAGCAAATGTGAAGTGTTTGGATCTACATCGAAATGTCGCATCTACTGCAACAAAGAAGTTGTCTATCCATAAAAAGTGTTCATCTTCATGTGTGAACATAGTAGATCAAGATGAACATCCTACCAATATCATAAGTAAGTGATTGTAAATTTGATACTTCACTGACATAATACTAAAGTTCTGACGATACAGGCTTCAGGAAGATTTTAAACGTTTATAGCTTACCGGTAATTTTATAAACAAATTTCCAAGCTGCTTTATTGTCTTGCTGTAATTGTAATATATTCAGTGCTTGACTCTTCTTGGTCTGTCCATAAATGCAGCTGAAAGTCTACTACTCACACTTTGCTAAGGATCACTTTAAAAAAATCAGCTGGATTGATATTGTTCTCATCGCCTATAATCTTGTCACTGTCTAAATCACCTTATTGTAGTTGTAGTCATTTGTAGGCCAGTTGTAGGCCTATCACATGGGAAATAGAGTACCTTCTGTGTGGGCCAACAGACAAAGGTTAGATGGCCGCAGAGGGTTGACAAGTTGTATTCCCTAAGGGCAGTGTAGGAAAGATAGCCCGTCCCAACGTCCGAGACGGGTGAATTTTGTGGAGGACAGGTTAAAAAAGAATCTGGTCCGTCCTCATGTCGGGTCAGTTTTAGCAAACCAATGACATAATCATTATTATATTATAACCTTTTTGAATATTAACTGCCAAAAGATACTAGAATAATCAAACAGATAAAATTATCGCAAACGAAATCAATGAGATATGTTTGCTTTAGAACAGAGTTCTCTCCCTTAGCTTCTTGAAACAAGTTTAGTAAGGAAGTGCGTGATTGGCCGGTTGTCACAGAATCAACGAACAGGAAAACGTGTTTCTTGTTTCCCCCAATTTCAAACCAAAATGGCTCGACCCTCATCGGTCGGTCTGCTGCTATGACTGAGCGAATTTACTCTTATTTTAGTCAATGTTGAATGTGCAACTGGCAAGGATGCAGATTCAGACTATGACTCTGACTTTTTAGATCTTGATGGAGATGTTGATGACTTGTCTGAAGACTAGTTCTGTCATGTTGTAACCAGATGATTCCACTAGGACAGATTTAACAGTCCAAGCTCTGTGTGTGCATATTAAATTATAGCTTAAAATAACACAAACCAGTTTTAAGTCTTGAAATGGTGTTTTATTTATATTTGGAGGACAGGCTAGATTTTGGCAGGACTGGTAAAAAATTTGACCAGCCAGTCCTGTGGACAGGCTAGATTTTCTACATCTTTCCTACACTGCTAAGGGACACAGACTTTTGAAAACTAACAGATATTGAGACACGAGGTGGTTGTCACCATAGTGATAGGTGAGTTCCTGATGAAAACTACATATAAGTCAATATAAATGTACATTACATGCTGATTTTTCAATGTAAGGAAAGATCAGCAAATGTCTTTTTCCACGAATTAATTAATTTATCCAGTCTGCATGTTTTTGGAGTGTCATTGACCAATAAAAACAAAATATTTCACATGTGAGGATAAGAAATGATGTTATACAATTATTCAGTGATCTGTTTTGTTTCTGGTTTATATTCCACACAGAAAACAGAAACCCCTACTTCATTTATCACAAATGTAGCAGGCATATTAAGACTCCTAATGTTTCACATGTCAGAGAATAATCACTTTCAGTTATCTGCTGAAATCGATTCTATAGGATATTAAAGGCAAAATGTGATGATAAAAAAATCATGTGCATGGATCACTGAAAGTCAAGGATAACAATGACTGTTAACGAAAACTGTAGGTAATTATGTGACTATGTCCTTCTTCATGTGAAGTCAATATACATGTGATGTATACATAAGCAGTAGATGAAATATGAGATTTTTGGACTGAAATGGGGTATTCAAAGGGTAATAGTATACGTATAAAGGGAAATGTGAGTGTTCTCTTTCAGAAGAGCCATTTAGTTAAAGAGTTTGCTTGTCATGCTTTGACTGCCTACTTGTGTACATGTACAATGTGTAAAAACCATTAAATGGTCCTCCTCTGTACTGTTGAAGGAATATTGCTGAAAGTGCTTTGAAACCTTACTAACTCACTCAATTATACCGTAAACATTCCCTCTGGATTATGGTAGCATTATTCCTGTGGATACACAGAATATATACAGAAAATCAAAAGACTGACTGACTGAGTTTAGTTTTACGCCGCTTTTAGCAATATTCCAGCAATATCACGGCGGGGGACACCAGAAATGGGCTTAACACATTGTGCCCATGTGGGGAATCGAACCCGGGTCTTCGGCGTGACGAGCCAACGCTTCAGAAAATCAAAAGAAATATTAACACTAAGTCATAGCTATTCCCAGTGGTATACTTGTCTACCCCTGAGTTATCTCCCTTGATCCTGACGTCACTGTATTGTTCTCCTAGAACCCTTAATAATTTTTCTGTATGGTCCACACGCATGACGTGCAGAGAATCGAGTGAAATTTCATTCCAAATCAAGACTTCAATTCTTCATATATAGGTCGGTTACAAATCGCATTCCACTTAATATTCAATCTCATTGCTGTTTTGCATTTATATTCGATATATTTCCAATGTATTTAGGGTCTGAAGTATGGCGCAGAGCAAATGTCTGCAATGTCAGAAATTCATGGCGGATGTTGATCCCCACTCTGTGTGCTTCCTGTTATAAAGGCTTACCTTGCTCAATTTCGGATCAATGCTTATTGTGTCAGGAAATGTCGGAAGAAGATTTGTTATTGATGGACAAATCTCGTTCCTTAGTAAGGAAACGTAAACATTCATCGTCATCAGAATGTTCTAAGTCGAAGAAAGTTCAGGGATCTCCACCTTTATCTATTAAATCTGAACCGAAGCCTTGTTCTAGATCTAAATCAAAATCCTCTCCCCAGTTGGATATATCTGCGTTCTCAGAACTTTTGGCGGGATTTAAGTCCGATATCCAGGCGGCCATGGATAAATCTGTACGGGATATGGAGATGAGGAATGACAAAAAATTTAATCACCTGTCAAAATATTTGGAGGAACCTGTTTTTCCGGCAAGACGGCAGATAGCCGCAGTGGCTTGGTGGTCGATGGCAAGAAACCAGGGGTGCTATGCCTGGGAAAGCTGGTTACCATGCCCATGCGTACGTAGGAAGCTGGTCCCCTCAGGGGGAGAAGCCTAGGGCTTCAAGCGACGAGTATGGAGTCGGCCCAGCCGGCTCTGGAGTGACCGTGGCTCAGGCTGCACACTCTGCGTCCTTTGTCCCCGGGCGCCAGTCATCCATGGCTGCTCCCTCTCGCATACAGCCTGCTACCTTCTCCCACTGGGAGACTGGGCTGCAAGCGTTTCACGGGTCTGACTCAGTCCAGACGGCACATGATTCCCGCCCCGGCTTTAGCCAAGCCACTGGGTCGGCTGCTATGGATAACGGTGTATCAACCCAGCAGTCTGATTCGCACGAGCCTAGCGGACATGTCAGCACAGGATTTTAAGCTGGGCTGGTCATTTAAGGAAAAACTGGAACTTTTGCACGGACTTTATCCTAATACTTTAGAAAGTGTTGGAGAATTACAACTTAGGCCTCTCCAAGGCTACAAACTTGAGTTCTTTTCCTACGGTTTCTCATAAACCTGTTTATTCCATTCATGTTCGTGTTATCAGAGCCAATCAACCAAGTTTAGACAAGGACTTTAAACAGCTACAGGATGCTAGAGGCTCTCGTGACTATGCACCGTTCTGTACTTTCAAGGATTGTATGGAATTGGATACGGCAGCCCTTCGGCGATTGATACCCTATCTTATTCAAACTGGTTTTCTGCGGGAGTTCGTGCCTTGCTCCCACTGGTGTTTCAAGATTATACGGGAGTTAAGAAAGACACTTTGATTTCCATGACTGCTCAAGAGATGGCGTTAACGCATTTGTTTCTGGATGTAGTGTATCAGTCCTTAGCCGATGCGATGGCAACTCAAGGGAATATGTTGGGACGACTTACAGCTATTGAGCGGATACAGCGGCTGGATTCAGTGAGGAATTTACCCTTGGAATCGGATAACACCTTTAATGGACAATGTCAACAGGCTATTGAGGCTAGAGATGCTTTGATGTCGAGAAACTTGAATCAACGTTTGGCATCGGCTCTTTTATTCCAAAATAGAGGAAGGGTTGACACTAGATCTAGAAGGGGATCCAGTGTTATGTCTCGTTCTGCTCAATCTTCAACAAGTAGTAGTCAGAATTTTCAGAGGTCTGCATTTGAACGTGCCTCGGATTCAAGAGCGCGTTCAACAAATGTGGCATTTACTAGAGGCTCATCCTCATCTAGGGGTAGAGGTAGGGGAGGTAGATCTTTTCGTGGATCATGATCGACTTCAAAGAAATATTGACTAAAGTCTCACTGTTAAGTGTTCTCTTCCTTACAAATCGGGAACGTTCCTGGACATGATATTGGAATTGGACTTTGTACGTCCGGTGACACAATCTCCAGGAGGGGGCAGGTTGACCCAATACGTAGACAATTGGAAACTAATAACATCAGACAAGTGGGTCCACTCTGTCGTGAGCAGGGGGTTTATTCTTCCTTGGCACAAGCAGCCTCCAGTGACTTGCTTTCAGGAGGGTCATCGGTTTGTTCTTCAAGGCCAACCTTTAGCGGGGCCAAACTTAGCAATAAATCAGTTACTGGAGAAACGGGCAATCATAGAACTTCCTCCAGGGGATCAGACATGCAGGTTTTATTCACCAGTATTCCTAGTCCCCAAGAAAAATTTAGACGAAATGCGCATGATAATAGTCTTGAAAGTGTTGAACAAGCTATTTTTGAGGAAACCAGCTAAAGTTCAGCACCTTGATTCGTCAGGATTCCAAGTATATA